TATAATATAATATAATATAATATAATATAATATAATATAATATAATATAATCCGTTTTACCTCAAAAACAGCAGCTATAGCTATTATTCTGATATCTGAGCTTGTCAGCGGACCACGTGAACTCCATAGATGGCTTTACTCTGTAATATGAAATTATAACAAAAAAAAACTTTTTAGGAAAAAAAACAGGGACTAACTTTGAATGTAAAAATGGATTCATTAACCATTGGTAAGTATGGGAAATTTGTTTACTCCAGGAAAATTCATTTTTTGGCCAAGACGAACAGTTATTATCCCAGTGATCAATTTGAATGTCTGTAGTGTAAATATCAAAAAGATATATTGATAGGATTTCTTTCTGTTTTATTTTATTTCTTCTTTTTATTTTTAGCAGCCATGGCCACAGTCAGAATTGTTTTAAAACACAATTTATTGAAAGCAAAAGTGGTGAGCAGGGGAACTGCCCTCGGGGGATGGGACCCCCAGTGAGGAGTGAACCTGTCAAGGTTCACTGATATGGGAGTCCCATCTCTCAGGGCAGAGTTTCTCCTGCCCAAGGGCTCAAATATGGTATGGAAATTCATTAAGCCACAAATGTAAGTATGAAACTTTTTTTTTTTTACAAAAATAATGATCTGAGGTAAAAATGATAATCTTTCAAATTGAAAAGAAAAATTAAAATCCTATACGTTTAAGTATTTATTTATTCATACCTTCATTCATTTCTTCTGGTGTATTTGATCTATCATTTATTGTATATATTAACATTTTACTTTTCATTTTAGACATTAACATATCATCAAGTAATTTATTTGTTTGTTTGTTTGTTCATTCGTTCATTTATTCATTCATTCATTCATTCATTCATTCATTCATTCTTTAAATTTATTCAGCCTTACCACCGTGGGTCTGGCTGGACATGGGAGCCTGAACCCTTTAGGAACAGGTGCCTCCAGGTGACCACTAAGGACAGCATGGAAGTGACCTGTACTTGGGGAGAACTGGACATGGAAATAAAAGGTGCTTGAATTCATAATTCTCATAACCTTTTAAATCTGTCATGTACAACATTTGGAAATCTCACTATCCTATAAAAAACTGTAGAAAAATGATGAAATGCTCCTTTAATATTGTCAAATACATTTGAGACTTTATAAATAATAAATAAATGTGCCATCTTATTCCAGAGTGGGACTACATGTACAAGCCTGAAGTCCACACAAGTGGTAAGTCCACATCATTGCTTTATTCAATCAACTTGATGCATTTTTTATCTTTTAGGAAGGGTTCATGAAATAAAATTACAACAACATCTTGACTCTCAGGGTGCAAGTCTGGACCCTCAGGGGCTGTTGACAATGAATTTGGAGACCTAGCTAATGTGCACTAGCTCCATGGAAACTCTCACTGAATACAATCAGATTAACAGACTAACACGCTTCTTTTTGTCTCCAACATACTCCAACATACTCACATAAATGGTATTCCTTAAAATTCAATTCTGTTCTTTCAGGTGATACCAAAGAAGAGAATAATGTAGCAATTGTTAAGACCCTAAGCATTGAGGAACTAGGTAAGGCTGGAATCTTAGTAAAATAATAACATTATGATTTTTAATATACTTGCACATACACATACACTAACAAACACACATACACATGCACTTACACACTGCAAGCATGTTGCTCAAGCAAAGTCTTTAGCATACTTAAGAAGATAATTGATTTTTAAGTCAATTAAATATTTGAATGTGTCTTCAACAAATTGTAAAACTGAATCCTATTTGAACATGCACGGATATGGAATGTTAAGTTTGTATTTTTAAATATTAAAATATTATTGAAATATCATTTTTTTCTTTAGTGGATATCAAAGACACAAAGAGTGAGTCAGATGCTGAGGGCAGCAAGGAGAGAGGTAAGATAGTAAGATCAATTTAACAAGTGTTTATTTAACACACTTAAAAAATTTACACACACACACAAACAGGCTCTCAGACACAAACAGGGGCAAATTGAGGAAGATGGTCAGAATTTTACATTGATGGGGATTTAATTTTTGTCAGAAGACAGTCCACAATGGAGGATGGATCAACAAACATAATTTGCAAGACTGTCAGAAAATCTCTCTTGATCCGCCCCTTACAAACATTGTGTTTTTATTCCCTGTTCAGTGATCTAAATCTTTGAATACATCTTTGACTATAGTATTGAATCCTTGTTGTGCATGGGCATGGAATGTTGAACTTGTGTTCCTTTTTTTTTCTTCATTTGATGTCAAAGACACAACAATTACTGTGACAGAGGACGTGAAGGAGAGAGGTAAGACAGCAGGGTCAATAGAATAGGGATCTATTTATTACATTGATGACATGTGATTGTGCATGTACACACACACACACACACACACACACACACACACACCAAGGTACTGTACTTGCATGCATGTTGACAGACTTAAAGAGATACTTTATCTTCTGAAAAAATAATGCTTTTGCTGTGTAACGCTTGAACACACATAATGTTGTCTTGAAAATTAAATTCAGTTCTGTCCTTTCAGTTGATACCAAACTAAAAGACAAGAACAATGTATCACTTTTAAAGACCCCAAGTACTGAGGAGATAGGTAAGACAGGAATCTCAGTAAAATAGTTATGATTTTTAATATACTTATGAAACATGCATGCACACACACATGCACTAACAAACACACATACGTACACACATACACACCACAAGCATGTTGCTCCAGCAAAATTTTTAGCATAATTAAGAAGATAATTTATTTTTAGTCATTTAAATATTTGACTATGTCTTCTATAAATTGGAATACTGAATCCTATTTGAACATGCACAGATATGGAATGTTAAGTTTTTATTCGATATCATTTTTCCTTTAGCCAATATCAAAGACTCAGAGATTGTGTCAGATGCTGAGGGCATCAAAGAAAAAGGTAAGACAATAAGCTTAGGACAATCTAACGGGGATTAATTTAACACACTTAAAAATGTAAACACACACAGATGGACTTTAGGGGGGAGACTCTCACACACAAACACTGAGTTCAAATTCACTGTTCAGTGATCTATATCTTTGAATGGGTTTTCGACTATGTTAAATAATGTATTGAATTCTTGTTGTGCACAGGTATGAAATGTTTAATTTGTTTTCCTGTCTTTCTTCAGTCAATATCAATGACACAACAACTGTGAAAGCAGACGTGAAGGAGAGAGGTAAGACAGTAGGGTCAATAGAATAGTAGGGTCAATATTTATTACACTGATGGAATGTGATTGTGCATGTACACGCACACACACACACACACACACACTCCTTATGTTGTGCCAACACAGTTTGTGCTTTTGGCCAGATTAAAATGATACTTGGCAATTTTGTTTATTCCAAATACTGGTAAAAGTGTTTCATTGAAGCTTCATACATGAAATATGATGTTGCACTGACTTATTGAACATTTTATACTTTTGCCTCTTAGTAAGTAATATTGTATTATACATTTTAGCTCCAAAGAATCGCCGCCCATCTAGGTGGAGGAGGGTATTGAATCTTTTCACGTCTTGCTTCAGACGGAGGGCATGAAGATAAATGGTTATTATTATTATTATTATTATTATTATTATTAATTAAATAATTCTAAACACTTCAGACATTAAGAAATGAAGAAAAGTCAACAGTATTTTTATATATATTTATATAAAAGAATAGATTTATTATACATTTACAGAGAAGTTCTTTTTGTTTGTCTCTTTGTTTTGATGGTATCATAACTAAGTAAGCTTTCAGTTTTTTTAGAGGAAAACTATATCAAACAGCTGGTAAAACTGTACATGAAAGCAGTAATTATATGATAGCAGCCAGGAGCTGGTGGTTGTAGAGTTACTGACAACATCTATTTACACCTAACTGAATACACATTTTAACTGATTTATATTTTAATATTTTTATCTTTTATTTTTCAGGGTCGTCAGTGCAGAACTATCATTACCTCTGTAGAAGCCAGTCTAAAAACTGCAAAATGTCATTCTCTTAATTTTACGATAAAATATTAAATTTTTGTAATCAAATGAGTTTTGTTTCTCTTTGTTTTCTTAATGGAGGGTACCATTGGGGAGGGGTGATCACAGTTCACGGGAAATAAAACCATTAATTTACAAATCACAGTAAACAAAACTTTATGCATATCTCACCAACAATGCTAGTTGAAAATCGTGAAAATTACAAATTACCAGGCTTAGTTTCAATAAGGGCAAAGAATAAAAAGCTGCATTTGCGAGTCACAGGAATGAGGTGCTTCGCGGAATATTGACATTTCACGCATCTCAGGGAAATAAAAAGTGGCTTTCACAGTTAACAAAATACCCAGTGGGACTCTTTTAATTTAAAAAAGTTTGAAAAAGCAAAATAAATCAATTTTTGTATAAAGCCATTTGGGATGTGATGCAAGAAACCAGCACTGGACTTTTTTTTACAATAAATGAAGCACTATAGTAATTACCTTATTTCAATAAAACAACATTTGATTTCTGATTTAAGTTTTAAACTTTGAAGTTTATCTCAAATTTTTTATCAAATTCTTTTTTTATTTCATTTATTAAACTTAAAAAATAATCAAAATATTGTACAAACTTTTAACTATATTCAAATACATACATAAACACTGATACTCACACACATGTACCCTACCATACGACTCAATTACTGATAACTTCTCTTTTGGTTTTATATTCCAGTATGTTCATGTTTAAATACAATAGATATATAGTTCAAACTCCTAGGAATTCACTTGAAAAGTAAACTTGCTTTAGACAAAAACGGCTTTCTAGATCACTTGCAACTTTTACAGATAAAGAGCCCGTTTTAATGAACTTTTATATGTGCAAGTGCAATATTGAGAGATTTTAACGTTTGAGCATCTGGTGGTTACATTGGTTACAGGGGAGAAACGGGGAAAAAACTTATCTATGTTATTAACACTGATAGTTAAATAATTGGGAGAGATCTTCAACTGGATGATATCTTGACAGAAAGAATGGAGAAAACAACAAAACGAAATATGGGGATCCCACCCATCCAGCAAGTCCTCTTTTTAAAGTAGTTCTTGACTCTCTGCAGTAGCCTACTTTAATTCCACTTTTAGGCCTAGTTCATAATTTTTATTGTCCAGTGTTTTATTTTAGTATTATCTCTCAAAGGATAACAATAGCCTATATTTATATTTTAATATTTTTCTTGTCTGAATAAATTCTTACTAAATTTTTACTTTATCTTACCATACCCTGTACTTGTACTATTGCTATAGCCATATGTTACATGTATTATCATAAAAATATTGTAAATAGCGGCAACAAGTTATTTTTCTGATACAATTCCTTTGTTGTCATTTTCAAAATGATTAAAGGATTTAAAATCTTTTACAAACTGCTCTTGCCCGTTGTCAACGCCCTCAGTTCAGGTCTATCATTTAAAATCAAATGTTTTATTGTATAAAATATAACATGTATAAAACCACATACTTCGTTCGAATAATCTAGCTTTGTTTAATACTGTGCGTGAACACAAAAATAAAGCTCTAGTATAATCAAAATAGAAATATCAAGACTTCTGAACAAGATGGATCACATTAGAATTCTCCGCCCCCCCCATCCTGCCCCCTTTCTACTGATACCATACAAACAAGCCACCTTCCAAACTCAGCGTGAGGTCAAAAGTTCACGGATGGGATATGCCATGTACAGGTGATTAGGGGAGATAGGTGGTGTCTTTTTGCGTTTTTTTTTTTATTCTGCCAATTTTGAGAAGAAATATCAGTATCTTTCCCTGCACTTAGTAAAAATAAATTCAATTAAGCCAATTTTCTTTCCTTTATTACGTAATTCGTCGGATGTAATTAAATAAACAAATTCCTAGAAAACCTTTACCCCCTCTTGTGAATGCAATGTGTCGTCTGCAGAGCTCAGCGTCTGCCACCACGCTGGATGCTTCGCGCATCCCGGGAGCTGAACAGTTAACGCGGTCCAAAACATTTTAGGGAGAGTCAGATGGAAAAAAGAGGGATCTTGGTATCTATAAAGTTCTACTTGGTGAAGCCGGAGATTTGGGCTAGTTTTAATCTTTTCATTAAAAGTTTGCAACATACTCTGCCTTTCAGTGACTCTATGCAACCAAAATATTTTGCTCGCATCTTGATACATTTTCCACTTCTGTCTCCCCCCTAAAACGGTTCACACTCAATAGTCAATAATCGTATGGCAATTTTATACAGGCAATTGACCTACTTTTATACCCATGCAGCTATCAACGAGTTTTATGGCTGTGGAGTGAAAACGTGATACACGTCTGTGATATAAAAAAATTATTTCTTATTACACAATTTACGATCAGTGCATATGACTCAAAAGTGTCCCGATTTGTGAGCTTAAGGGGACATTACTTTTTGAAAGTAATGAAAAAATTGGAAACAAGCCAAAATCAGAAATAATGCATTTTTTCTCTTATATGCAAATTAGGTTCCTTGAGGTAATATAAGACTGGCCGGAAGTGATGTTCATATCAGAG